TGAACCGGAAGACCTTTGCAGTCTCTATTCAGACCGATGTTCGTTAATCATTTGGAAGCATAATTCCTGTAGTAAACTCATAGTAGATGGCTGACTAATTACCTGTGAGGTAATCTTTGGACCCAGTGACTGAATAAAGGGGGATATATTTGCTTTTTTGGTTTGTTTTTTTAAAGGAGGATGGGACATTTAATAAGTTAACGTGTTTGCTTGACTCTTTTCCTGAATTACATGCCCAGGCTTTCCGGAAAAAGGGAGGAATCTTTCCCCTGTTCATTTTTCTTAAGACAAACAAACAGTCAGTCCCTGGCTGTCAGCTTGTTGTGTGTATGTGTGTGTATGTGTGTGAGAATATGGCCTTCCTTTGCTTCCTTCAGAGTTGTACCTTTTCAGCTCTGAAGTGAATCATATCTAGTAGGCTGGTTTGCAGCTATGACTCACCCTGTAGACACAAAATGGAAGAAAAAACCTTCAGCCTACCAAAAAAAAAAAAAAGACCAGAGCTAAACTTTTAGGCTTGTTTGGGTTTTTAAGATAAAGCTCTTGATTAATCTTAGGTGCTCAAGGGTCATTGTGATATCTTAAAAATTGCCAACCAGGAAAGAAAGATTTCAAAGGCCTCACTCACTAGGATGTCAAAGTTATGTAAAAATCTTTCTTTAAAATGCACCTTAATTTATGAGCCAACTCCTTTTATTCCTGTTGTTCTGTTCTCTTTTCTATAATTCTAGGCATGAAACTAATGGAGGAAAAAAAAAGCATTTTTTCTTGGAGGAAGTCAAACTCTCCTGATTCTACTCTTTAGCAAGTGGCATTTCCATAGACCATGCCACCTGTAAGGGAGTTAATTGACATTCAATTAATTTATTTTTGTTCCCTTTTCTCCTCCACCCCACCCCCACTGCCTAGTAGAATAAAAAGCTTTTAAAATAACATGTGATTCTTTTTTGAGCTATAATATTTGGCCCTCAATTTATTCCTTTCTTTTGGCTTCTGAAACTTTTATGAATATGCTTTTTTAAAACCTTGTGTCCATCTATTCATGTCTACAACAGTAAATATAAATTAAAAGTAATTACAGATAAATTATAAAAGCCATGAGAGCATTTTGAAACTCTTTCAAATTTTAATCTAAGTAAAAATCTTTTTGTTCTTATTATATAGAATTTAAGGGGAATGTTTTTGTTCATGCTGTTAACAAGGATCTACTTGGGGAAGACTAATTTTTTTTAATCTGTGCTGCTTTCTTTTTGGCTAGTGTTCATCAGTCAATATCACCCTGAAATAGCCCAACTTTTGCATATACATATATGATAGAAGTCACTTCCACAAATCCACCAACACTATGGTATGAATTGAAGGTTATTGGAAGGTCCATGGACCTATAAATCTCTTTTTCCCTTTAGGACTCACTTATGACATTGTCTTCCTCTGGAGCACCCTATTAAATTACAAATGAATTAGAAATTAAGTCTCCCAGTAAGCAGTGACTATCAGTTGATTAGATAATGATGGTCCTCTTGGAAGTTAATGTGGAAGACTTTGCTGGTATGGGACATAATTACTCCGGGTGGGCCCTGTGGATGTTGGAGGCAGAGAGTGACTATTAGCAATTTTATTACAGCCTGGATTGTTTTCCCCTTGAAGGGTGATAGTTGATTAGCACAAGACCCTGTGCTTCAGTGAAGCCCATCATTGTGTAAAAATATTGCCCAGAAGATGCTTTCCCAAGAAATATAGGGCGTATAATTCACAAACTCTTGAGAAGGTTAAATAACTAATGACTAATGACATAAATAAGGAGAGGCAGCATGGCCTCAGAGTAAGGAAGTCCTGGGTTCAAGTTCACCTTCAGATGCCAAATGAATGCATAGCTCAGATCTGCATTGGTAGGAATTTCCTTACTGAGAAGTTATTTCAGTTGTGCCTGACTCTTCATGACCCCATTAGAGGTTTTCATGGCAAAAGATACTTGGGTGGCTTACTATTTCCTTCTCCAGCTCATTTAACAGATGAATGAACTAGGGCAAATAGAGAAGTGACTTGCCCAGGGTCACACAGCTAGTTAGTGTCTTAGGTCAGATTTGAACTCAGGGAGATGAGTCTTTTTGACTCCAGGCCCAGCACTCTATTCAGTGCACCACTTAGCTGTCTGAGAGTTTTCTACTTCAAAATATATGTGATATGCTTATCAATATAGAAGTGGAAGAAACCTTGGAGGATGCTAACTAATAAAGTTGCAGAGAGTTCTTCCTGTACCAAATACTAGCAAATTTGCTTTAACGAAAGTGCTTCCTACCTGAGGTAAAAAGCTGAGTGTCAGTAGGAGGGCCCAGGTACCAGGTGCCTGTAATTCCCATAGTCCAGGGAAACTCTACCATCTAATTTTCAAGTCTTCCACTGAAAACAATTACTAATGCATGGGTGATCTGAGCACAGTCTAGCTCTCCATGGAAAGCTACAGTGTAAGGTAGCCTGAGGGGTAGGAAATGGAAAGACTGGGCACATTAGCAGGACCAGTGCCCTGCCAAGGCAGGCTCTGGTTACCTAGATAAAAGGCAGAGCATCTGATGGAGCTCGGCAACCTTTCCCCTTGTGCTTTTCAGGGCTGTGCTTTTTGTTCTTAATCTTCTTGCTCTACTCCGCATAAACTGAGAGTTGATGTGCCATGCAGCGGTCATGTGGGGAAAGAGTATTTTATTTCCAGCTATTAGCCTAGTAGTGCCTTCTGGAAATCTCACTGTGCTGAGCACGTTAACTGATATGTCTAGATAAGTATAGATCTAGCTACAGATATGTGTGTGTACACACATATGTATACATATACAGACACACATCTATGCATATACATACTTATATATCTATGTATGTATATGTATGTGTATATATATATTCATATGTACACATATATGTGTATGTGTAAACACATATTTGTTGTTGTTCAGTTGTAACCAACACTTCATGGCCCCATTTGGAGTTTTCTTGGCAAAGATACTGGAATGGTTTGCCATTTCCTTCTCCGGCTTATTCGATAGATTGAGGAAACTGAGGCAAACAGGTTCAAGTGACTTGCCCAGGGTCACATAGGTAGTTAGTGCCTGGGGTTAGATTTGAAATCAGGTCTTCCTGACTCTAGGCCTGGCACTCTACTCACTTTCCCACCTAGATGCCTATACACATACACACACACACACACACACACACACATTTCCATCACATACACATACACACATACACATAATGTGTATACATATATATCGTATACATATATACATATATGCATACACACATGTATATATATAGTGTGTAGTGTGGGACTACTTGTCATGGCCCTTTTCCATACACACACGCACACATGTGTGTGCGTGTGTGTGTATACACATATATATACATATGTAATATACACACGTGTGTGCATATTTTATACACATATACATATATAATATACACACATAGAGAGATACACATAATATATCTCCCATGTTTGTATGGCCTTTTTTCTTCTATAATTACATTTTTATATCATACACACATATCCACATATGTGTGTATATATATATATATATATGTATAGATAATATAGATAACACTGTGGATAACATGCCTACAATATATACATCATGTATTACATGTGATATATATTGTATATATGTGATATCTATGATATATTTAAGGATAAAACTACATAAGGTGGTGGGGATAAGGCTACAGTAAGTATGTGGGGCTGTTTGTGATGGCCCTTTTCCATCTGTTTGTAAATGTATAAATATTTTTATATGGTAATATATAAAGACAGAATATAAACAACATATTTAGGTAATATATTTCTAACAAATTATAAACAAATATAATAAACGTATGTACACATATAAAATGCTTATTGTATGTAATATTATAGATGGAAAAGGGCTACATACCATAGCTTTCCTGTAGTCATCTAGGGCTTTCTTAGCCCTTTTTGTGTTGTGGACCCTTATTGGCAGTGTGATGAAGCCTATGGATCCCTTCTCAGAGTAATGTTTTTAAATGGATCAAATAAACAAGTTCACAGAAATTATGTTAAAAACCCCTGATCTAGACCTCTGCTTTTTGGATAGGGCTTGTTTTTAGAATATCTTATTTGTTCCCTTTTTAAAATATCCCTTTGTTAAGGGCATGGGGATAAAGGTTCTAAGAGCTAGAAGGGTTCTCAAAAGACATCTTAATTTTACACACACACACACACACACACACACACACACACGCACACACCCCTATTTGTGTCCATGGAGAGAGGGGGAGGAAAAAAAGAAATTTACATGATAATTTTGTTGTATATTTGAAAGGCAAAACACGTTGTCCATAGATTTGCGGTTTCATGTGTAATCATCTTTTTTTTTTTTATCATAGTATGTATGCAAATGCTTGTTTTATTCCATAAATTAAAAATAAAAATTTTTTCAAAAAGACATCTAAGTTAATCCCCTTTTTTACAGATGAGGAAATAGCTATTTGCCCATAGTACCATGAAGATCTTTCCAAGGTAAAAATAAAGGCTTAAAAAGGAATTTATTTGAATGCAAAATGAACAAATATTGCTTCCATTTCTAAGATAATGAGGGGTATTACTGGAATTTCATGAAGGGTATTCAGGATATATAATTAGTGGAGCCAATGGAACTGAGAAGCAGGGAACAACGGTGTTCAGACCCTGAACACAAACTAGAGCCTTCCTCTGAAGTCATAACCTAAGGGAGGCTGTTAGATTTAGGAGTCCTGCTCTTGAGAGAGGTTCCGCTAGGAGGCAAATTGAAAGCAAGCATGCTACCTTTTGCCCTTCTCTGCATGGGGCATCAGGGTGAGGAACCGGCCGAACTTTGTCAGACTAGACTGGGTTGAAATCAGCTGCCTGTTCATCTCTCAGGTTTCATGTCTCAAGCCAAAGTATCTGGTTGCGGAGCCCTGGGACGTTCAATTTCATTGAAGAATATCTTTCCCTTTCTGTTTTCTTGTGGCTACAGACGATTTACATGGATGATGGCGTGTCGTCTTTTGTCCAGATCAGAGGCTCAGTTCCACTGTTTTGGGAGCAGCCAGGGCTTCAGGTAAGTAATGAGGAAATTTCTTGACACTTCATTTTATTTATCCTTTCACCTAACCTGCCTGCTTTTCAAACAAACAAAAAAATCTTTTAGTAGCATCATTTCTGACTTTTCACATAAAATGTCTGTGGGTCAATGTATTGAACTAAATTTTTCTTGGACCTTTAAAAGATTGCATGGATAAAAATGTATATAGTCCATGCATATAAATAATATCTGTGTGAAAGAATTGTTCTGTAATTCCCTGTTTCAAAACTCAATTTATTAAAGAATGTGCTTTCTTCTTCACTGATGCCCAGTATAACATTGAAATGTTATGCTCTCTATGTAAGTGAACAGTTACGCATTCTGTCTTGGATGTTATGGGATAGTGTATAGTGCAAGGGCAATCCTAAATTTCAATTTTTCCAAAACAGTCAGGCTTTTGCTTGGTTATAACTTAATATCCAGAGCAAGAGTGAGCGGTATCTTTTACCTACTTCTTGTGGAGCTTAGGCTGACATACAGTAGGTCTGAGGTTAGGGGGCTTTCAGAGACGTATGAGAATTTCATTCCAATCTTTCCTGTGATTACTAAAAATATACACTGTCATTTGAAACCTTGGCCACTGACCGATGATAGAGATATTTCGGTTATGTCTGTCTCCCTCGAAGAGATCTGTATGTGTGGTGGTAGGCTCCGAGAACACTTTGGTCATCGAGGACATGACATGATGACTTGTTCATTGAGCTCTCCATTGAGGTGGGTGCTGAGCTAGACTAATCTGGGATCTCAGCAGGAAGGGAAACGATCAATGGAAAGACTGAATTCTTTGTGGAAATTAGGTTGAAAAATTTGGGAGGGGTGATTATGAAATCTTCTAAGTAGAAGATTTCTTCTTAAAGTCTCTTCTAATCCAGTCTCCTACATAGTACAGGAATCTTCATAGCAGCAGCGTCCCTAACTCATGGTCATCCAGCCTCTGCTTAAAGACTTCTAGTCTTGAAGACTGTCTAGTGTCAGGAAAGTCACTACTTTGTGAGGCAATCCATTTCATTGTTAGCTATAATCATTATACAATTTTCCTTATAATTAAAGGGAAATTTGCTTCCTGTAACTTGCATGGGTTGATCCAATTGTGTTCTCTGGAGCTACACAGAATATTCAGTCTTTTGCATTAAAACTTTAAAAATCTTTAAGGATTCCTTTAATGACCCTATTTATTTGTTTATTTGTTTGCTTTTTTGCCTTATGCAAGCTAAACATCCTTAGCTCCTTTAGCTGTATTAGTGTGCTGTTTTCAGACCCTTTGCCTTTCTGGTCCCTCATTCGTTTGTCAGTGTTACTTTGAAAATGTGGTGTACAGACTTGAACACCAATAATCCAAATGCAGGTTGACCAGTGCAAAGTAAAATAGACTATGTTCTTCCTTGATGTAAACATAGTAAGTGGACAACTTATAGCTTTGATTCATTAAGCTTGTGTGTTGACTAACCTCCCTCCTCCCCATGAGTCTTCAAAATAACTTTGAAGGTTTAATAGAATCCTAGAATTGGAAGAGAACTTAAAAGGCTGCTCTGGTCTAATCCTAACCTGAATCTTGATATAAAGTCCCTGACAATTGACTATCCAGCCTCCCCTTAAACACTTCCGGTAGAACTCATTAGCTTTCTCTTTGAAACAAAACAAAGACAAAAATATTTTGTTGATGCATTTTAGGTTCTCATTTCTCACCCCCACCCCTCCAAATGTGCAATATAAATACTGACAGCATAGAAAAAACGCTATCCTAGAATTCAGCCACTTCTGTGTTTTGTTATCTCTCTTCCAGGACCTTCACTGGTTTTTCCATTCCTCAGAGTTCAGTTTCCTTTTAGTGATCTATTTACTTACATAATTATAGTTGTTATCTATAGTGTTCTGTCTTGCTTCTACTCATTTGTTCTACACCAATTTACACAAACCTTTCCATATTTCTCTGAATCCCTCATATTTATTTCTTTCAGTGCAGTAGTAATACATAATTTTCATATACCATAAGTTTTTCTACCATTCCCCAATTGTTGGGTATGTGTTCTTTGTTTCTGGTTCTTTGCTACTATAATATAATCCATTAAGAGGACTGTTTTTGGTATGTATTGGACCTTTATGTCTATCTTTAGCTTCCATGTCTGGTAGTGGGATTTCTGGGTCAAAGGATGTGCTACTTTTTTGTCCCTTTTCTTGAATAATTCCAAATTGAAATTCAGAATGGATTCAACCGCTTAATAGTTTCACCAATCATGCATGAATGTGTTTGTACAGCCCCTCCAACGCTATCTCCATTCTTTCTTTTGTCGTTGTCAACATGCAAGGAGTAAAACTTCAAAGTTGTTTTAAGTAATTTGGAACTTAATTTTAGGTAAACATTTGTAGGTAGCAATCTTCTTTTGAAAACTCCATATCCTTTGATCACTTACTCATTGAAAAATAGCTCTTAGTGCTATATCTCCTTTATATATTCAATATTTATATGTATCTATGTATTTAATATATTTAACTCTTACTGTTATATCCCCTATGTAGTGTCAATTCCTTATGTATTTTGGATATCAGACTTTTATCAATTATTTTTTGTGCAAATGTTTTTCCACTTCACCACTTCTCTAATTCAGGTGTCTTCACTGATTTTTATTTATGCAAAAGCATTTTAATTTTATGTAGTCACAAGGGTCTGTCATCTTTTATAGCCTATCTCTTGTTTGATTAAAAATTCTTCCCTGGTGGGAAGTCACTATCTTTTTATTTTTAAAAATTCATTCTATCTGACTTTATAGCAAAATCATTTCTAACCCATCCACCCCCATGTTTAATCCTCCCTTGTGACAAAGAAAAACATCTCATTCAAAAAGCTTGTCTAACAAACTCATTCTCTCTTGAGAGAACCCATTCCATTTCTAGACAACTCTAATTACTAAGTTCTTCCTTATATTGAATCAAAATCTACCTATTCTTACATGAAAGCTCTTTACATACTTGAAGTCAATTAGTACGTTCCACTGCCACCTTTCCTCTCCTTCCTCTTACCCCTTGGCCCAGAAGACTTCTCTTCTCTAAAGTAAATATCAGTTATTCAGTAAATAATCATTAATTAAGCACCTGCTATGTGCTAGGCACTGTTTGAAGCATAAGAAGATACAAAGAAAGGCAAGAAAAAAATAGTCTTTGCTCTCAAGAAGCTCACAGTCCAATATCCCCAATATTTTTAATCTATTTTTTTAAAAGCATGGTCTTGAAAATGGACATCACTCTGGCTGTCCTCTTTTGGATTTGTTCTAGTTTGTCAATAGCCTTCCTGAAATGTGGCACTCCAATCACAATACTGCAGTGGTTAGGACAGAGAACACTGGGTAGCATGAGTTATGAATACCTTACAGTGTTGGCATTAGGTAACACTCTGCTCTGGGAATGTGATATAATAGACAATACGAGGCTAGATCTAATATCTCTTTATTCCTTCTCATTACCTGAACTTGTACGTGTTCTGTGTATTGGATCTATAGTAATTCAAAGGACATCCCACCACCCATCCCACCTCATTCCCAGAACCCTTCCAGACCTCAGTGCTTGTGGACATCCCCTGTATGTTCCACTGAAGATACAAGGTATAAGCGAAGAGCCAATGGAAAGAATTGGTAGAGTTGGAGTTAGTACACATTCAGATCTCACCCTTTCTTCTTAATAATCATGTGACCATAACCTGACCATGAGGGACAATCTCTCTAAGTCACAGCTTCCTCATTTTAATACCAATTAGTATCAGCCTCACAGGGCTCTTGTCAAATTCAAATGAGATCATGTATTTAAAACACTTTCCAACCCTTAAAGTGCTACATAAATGTCAGATAACACCATCACTAATCAACATGAGAGGACGATGATGATCCCAAGAGCATACCCTACAGGTGATGACTGTACCTCATATATTCCCAGTCTCTTCCCCAACAATCACATTTATAATACTCTTTGTTCATCTACTCTGTTCGGTAGATAATGGTCAGTCTTTGCATTCCACCAGCATTCATATACAAGTCCTACTCCTAATTCCTGACACCCCTGTCACCTCTACAGAAATATAGTCACACTCGACTGTTTCCCCAGTAACAAGAACTGCAAAAGGAATCCATATGCCTCTCCCTCTTCTAGTGGCCCAATGTTTCCATCTCTTAACATATTGCCGCCTTCATTCAATTAGTCAGTCAATTAGCAGTTTTAAGCACCGAGTATATGTCAAGCCTTATGCTAGGTGATGGGGATGTGAATTTAAAATTCAATCCTTGGCTGAATTTTAGTCAGTACTTGACTTCAAGGAGCCTACGTTCTCACAGTGAACTCTTAATTCCATAAGGCACTGTGCTTGATACTTCTGTTAATGTTTCTTGAGACCACATCAGCTTGTATGACAGTCATGCCATGTGATTGGTAATTGAGCTTATAATTCCACTTAGTAGTCAATCAGCAAGCATTTATTAAGAGCTTACCTTGGAATAGGCACCAAAGTGCATGGGGACACTTCCCCCCATTTTGTCTTCGTGGAGTTGGATTTCTGAACAAAAGTGTAATACTTAACATTTATGACAGGGCCTGGATGTGTGATTTCATTTGTATCAGAAACTTCTAGTCAGGAAACTCTTTTTACCAATACAGATGAGCACGGCAACTTGCTGTCTTGGAGAATCGTCTGGGGCTCGGAGATGCTAAGTAACTTGCCCAGAGCCACACTGTTAGTATTTCTCAAAGCTTGGACCCAGGTCTTCCTGATGCCATGCTGCTTCTCACTTCAGATATTAATAGGGATAAGCTTAACATTAATCCCTATTGTGTTTCACTTTCCTCTACTAACATGCCATTCTGTGTCATGGCCTGAAGGTGCCCATTGGCTCTTGGCAGCCATACCAATGCAGTATAAGCTCCAGCAGTTGAAAGGGCTTTGAGAACAGGCTCAGCAATACACTTGTCATCCAAGGACCCTCTTAACTAAATTC